GTGAAGGGAGGGCTAGGAATGCGGAAAAAATAAGAACCAAGATGCATTATATAAAGGTACAATTCCCAATGAGAAATGTAATTGTGTTGTATACCTATAATGTACCAATAAAAGAATTTAATACAAAACAAAATATTCAGGCTCAACCTATTAGTATTTCTCATTCTTTTCATATGGCCTTTTCTGACTGTCAGGGGGTACATTTGCAATTTCTCTCAAATAACCCAGACTGGCCAGAGGAAGGCAATCTCAAACTTCAGTTCAGTGGATTCATTATTAGGTCCCTAGATGGAAGCATTCCTCTCTTTGGAACTAAGACCTCTAGATCAGCAGAGCCCAAAGTTGCAAGTAAAGGAAGCAAAAATTTTGCTAATAGAGTACTAGGAATAATTTTGCATGGAAACGTTCCCATTTCTACACCTTAATTATTGGACTCCTAAATTGTGGCTATGGGAGAAATGTCACTTTAAATCAGAAGCAGATTTAACTCAGTGGTGCCACCTCCTCCTTACAAGCACAAAGTCCTGAGTTCAATCCCTGGTCCAAAAAAAAAAAAAAGCAGATTTAGAGCACATCTTATATCCTGGGGTACACTGCCCCAGTACGACAGGAATTGCCACCTAGCTGGCATTGTTACTGGGTCTTCAAAAGGCTTCTTCTCCATACTATTAAGCCAGCTGCTTCAAGACAATGAGAAATCTGGTAAGTTCAGTGAATTCTATGAGCTTGGGCCCAACTGCTGTACTTTATTTGCTATGAAGTGAGTTCCTTAGTCATTGTGATTCTATGGAAAATGCCAGGATGACGAATAATATATTCTGTAAATCATGAATCACAGTTTCAGCAGAAACATTGTGACTAGAGAGGAAAATCCCTACCCAGAGCAAATGTCTGTTCCAGTAAGAACACAGTATTGCCTTTCCATGATAGAAGTGGTCTAGTGTAATCAACCTGGCACCAGGTAGATGACTGAACCTCTTGAAGAATGGTGCCATTGAGAAGTTTCAGTGTTATGTTCAGATCCACTTTGGTAAGTCCATATTGCTAAGCCAGTGTGCAACCACCATCTCTGGACAACAAGCATATACCTCCTAGCAGTTCTACCTCTATGACTGAACCTGGACTGATGACTTGAGTACTAAGAGTGGTTTCAGGAAAGTATAAATTTAAGACTAGCCTCTCAGAATTGGTTCTAGGTTATCTGGAATTGGTTTTCTCATCTTTGTTTTATAATAACTTACTCCATATATATTTAAACCATTGAAAGTACTACTCAAAACTGAATAAACTTTTTGATGGCACATACAAACCGGAGTATTCAGGTAATACTCACTAGAGACTGGATCAACATATTAAGACAACTTTTCTGAATGTCTGGAGGTACACTTGCAAAGCTTCTCTCAGACCAAAACCTTGCAAAATGCATCACAATCCACCTGTCAAAATTACAGAATCCCAAATCAGAAAAATGATATTATTTTTTATTACAACAGTCAGTATTTTTGTTTTAATTATATAAATATATATATTTGACCAACTGTTAATTTGATGAGCTCTAAGATGGATGTAACTATATTTCCTTTTCTATAAACATGTATTTTAAACCCATGTTGCATTGTGTGCAGATTTTAACATAACAATGGTTCAGCTAAAATAAATTGATAATTGAGTGATATCTAAATCAATACTTCTACCCAACTGGTATAACTAGTTAAGCCCTAAACTACTTATATTGTACCTAAGTCTAAAATTGGCCACAAAATTGGCCACAAAATAAAAGAACAAAATCCATAAATTAGTAATGGTAGCACTACTCAAGATAACTTACTTCATGCAGTCAGCAAAAAGATTTTCCACTCCAACTGAATGAGCAATAATTAGGCATTCTACTACAGACGCCAACGTTCTGGGAACAGGCTAAAATTGATAGAAAACACCACATTTATTCTTTTTCAATTACCAGAGGCTAAAATTACTTGGCTCAGAAAGAAAATCTAATTTATATACCTAAACTATGAAATAAAGACATGAAATTTAAAAACTGATGAATTTTAAAATGCATTTTCCACACATAGTTCTTTACCTGAAATAAATTTCTGCCAGTACTCCGCCTCTATACATGCTCTTGTCAATGTCCTAAAATTTTATTTCTTAAAAACACTTTTCCACTCAAAAATCTGCACACAGACTTTTATAGCAGCTTTATTCATAATGATGAACACTTGGAAGCAACTAAGATGTCCTTCTGCACGTGAATGTATAAGTAAACTGTAGTTTAGCCTTGCAATGGAATATTCAGCATGGAAAAGAACTGAGATTTCAAGTGATGAAAAGACACAGAGAAAACTTGAATACCTATTACTAAGTTAATACTAATGAGAAGCCAATTTGAAAAGGCCACATACCACATATATGACTCCAACTGTATAACAATCTAAAAAGAACCCCCAAACTTTAGGGATAATAAAAAGATCAATGGTTTCCAGGGGGTAGGGAGAGGAAAAGAATTTCTGGGACACTGAAAATACTCTGTATGATACTATCATGATGGATACACATCATTATACATTTCTCTGAACCCTTGGAATATACAATATGATGAGTGAGCCCTAATGTAAACTATAGACTTTGGGTAATAATTATGTCAAGGTAGGTTCATCATTTGTATCAAATGTACCACTCTGGTGAGGGATTCTGATAATGGAGAGGTTATATATGTATGGAGGCAGTGAGTATATGGGATATCTCTGTACCTTCCTCTCAATTTTGCTGTGAAACTGTAATTGCCCCTTAAAAGTTTTTAAAAAGTCTGTTACTATTTTAAAATCAAGTATCTCTCATAAGTTTTAGTTTTATAGAATAGCACTTGAGCTCTTTTAGCTGCCACAATGCACGTAATTTTTCTTCTAACTTCTTTTAGCTCAGTTTTTATAAGCAAAAGTGATATAATTATTTCTGGCACCTCACACTGCAATGCAACCATATAGTCTATTCTGATTCCTAAAATATAAATATTACTACCATATTTCCTTGCAAGTAATATCTAGCCAGAAAATAAGCCCTAGCATGATTTTTCAGGATGCTCATAATATAAGCCCTACCCACCAAAATAAGCCCCAGTTATGATGGTCAGACAGACAGAAGCATTTAGTATGTCCACTGCAAGACATGACAGATGTATTGAATTATAAAAATAGTATTAATATATAATTAAATATAAATAATATTATTGATGTTAATACTTAAAGTAAATAACAATAACTTATAATTAAGTATTTGTAAATACCCAATTGGGCAACTTGTGAGAGGTAAACACCTAATAGATGAACTCAAGACTTACTGCTGAATGACCAATCAGAGTACAGATACAATAACATGTGCACTTGATAACAAACGAACATGGTTATGTCTAATATGAATCTTCATAATTTAATATGTTGTGTGTTGTAATGATACATTTAATGCATCCTTGTGAAATAAAGAAACATTTTCTGAATTTTGGTGCCTGCAATTTTTCATCATTTTGTGTGGACTCTTATTCCTGTCATCATTTTATCACTCTTGTCTCATAAGTCTTTAATTTACACTTGATAATGGAAACTTTGTGAAGCCTTGCCTGCAAGAAGAGGTCATGACTTGGGTGAAGAATTCATGGGATAAAAATCACTGACAGCTGTGTTGCCAATACACTACGAGCAGCCTACATGGACAATAAGTGCTCATTTAAGGACAGCTCTATTGCTGGACATGAAAGATTGGGGCCAATAGTTCTATAGGAAATCGAGTAGCAAGAAATTCAGGTCAGAATTCAGGGTTTAGAGTTATAATGATGTTCCAGAAGATGACATGGCTGTATTTGAATAAATGTAGATTTTTGTTCATGAATGTTGTGAATGTTGTACATGAATAAATGCAGATTGTTGCACATTAAAAAAAGACATTTCCTGAAAATAAACCCTATTGTGTCTTTTTGGAGCAAAAATCAGTATGAGAAAATGAAAAAATGGAAACAGAGTGTTTGTAGACAGGGAGGGCAGGGGAATGGGGAAAAAATAAGAACCAAGATATATTATGTAAAGGTACAAATTTCCAATGATGGAAATATTGTATATTGTATATCCAAAATGTACCAATAAAATTAATTTTAAAAAAGAATAAAGTAATTGTCCATGGAGCTTTAAATATCTGCAGAGATATCCCAAATGATATCTCTGTTTATTTTTATGTCTTGATGGGCTGGGGATTTAGTTCAGTGGTTTCACCACCTGCTGTGCAAGCGGAAGGACCTGAGTTCGATCCCTGGTACCAAAAAAAAACCAAACGATTTTATTTTTATGTCTTGGCTGCAATGAGGAGGAATGTGTCAAGAAGTTTGGTAAAAAATAACATTTTAATACAGAACTGCTAACATGGAAGGTTAGGTAATAAAGTAAGATGGAAAGGGGGGAAATCAATAAACAGAAACAAAAAACAAAAACAAGAAAAAGAGGATTTAATTAGATCATAATATAGAACATACTTTCTTATGGAACATATATAGAAGTAATGCATTAAAAAACAAATAAAGGTAAATATAGGTAGGGAAAGCAATTTAATACTCTTGGTGTTAAGTATCTGTGCTATATATTATGCAAGCCATGTATTTTCAGGTTTTGAACTATGTTCCTAGGTAGGTCTATTCAATTAGTTTGAATTCTTTTTATACACATCTATTAATTGTGATTTTGGGTGTATAGACTTAAAGATCAACAAGCCAATTTATATATCTAATCTAAACGTATATTTCTAAAGATTTGTTTTCAAAGCAAAAGTTTCTTTAGAAATGTCTCTAGCATTTCTAAAAAGGTCAATGATTTTCAAATTTTTAATTATGCACTATTGATTTAATTATGCACTAATACTACTCTCCTAAAAGTGTTACATTAGTATTTAAGAACTGAATATATTTTGTTTTGCATATTAATAATTTAAACTAAACAATTAAAATCCCCTTAAGATAACTGGTGGTTCTCCAGGTTGTCTTAAAATCAGAAATGACCATCACTATAGAGATTATACAGTGATAATTCTACTACCAAGTTAAGTAATTTGGGTTTTAGATCCTCTTCAGACCACAGTATTGAATTATTATGAGAGAATGGGCTACTTGAATAGACATACTTGATAGCCCAAGAACACCCAGCAGTCTGAAAAATTATAAAAGTATGTAACAGGCTTTTAAAAAAATCCAGTAGTCTAATTTATGTAGGGTAAACCAGCCTTATGCAACACAAAATCTATTAACTGACATACAGCAAGAATAATTTTCATCAAAATTATTAAAATACAAAATAATTTGCTGTTTAAAGCAGAGGCTGGTAAACTACATCCTGTGGGGTAAATCTAGCTCACCATTGTTTTTGTGAATAAAATTTTATTGGAATACTACCATCCATTTCATTTATATATTGTTTATAGCTGCCTTTGATCTACAACAGCAAGATAGTTGTGATGGAGACTGTATGACTCACAAAGTCTCAAATATTTACTATCTGGCCTTTCACAGAAAAAGTCTGCTGAGTTCTGGTTTACAGATAACTCTGGATCTCTGAGTATATGGAAATGCTTATTCCTAGTGTTTTTGTAATAAGATGACTTGACCTTTAGTCATTTTCAAAACCTAAGGGAGG